TTTTTTTTTTTTTTTTGAAGCAGTCGTTTATTTTTTCTTCTTTTAAATAATTGTCATATTAAAACCTAATTATTTGTACTTTAGTTTTAAAAATGAATTGAACAACGTAATACACTTTCCTCACCTTATTCTTTTTTATTTTCTCTTATCTTGTCATTTCCTCTCTAAATTAAGTTCTAATCAAACTTTTCTTGCTGTTTTCTACCAAACCGTCAAAATTAATATTTACATAATATACATTTCAAATACAAAAAAATTACTTCCAATTCAATGTGAGGGTGTGGTTTCAATTGTCGACTGACAGTGTTTTAACATCAAGTGTCAAAAAAAACTACTCTTTTTGCCTTCTCTAATCCGCTTCGAGAATAAGTTCATTTTTAGACCTTCAATTCTCTGTACAGCAAAATTTCAGAATTTCTTTAATTTTTTATTTATTTCGTTCTATATTTTGTCGCTCAGCTATTTTTTTCCTCATTTTTTCTACTCAAATAACGTCAGTTGAGAAATAATAAAATAGAAATTGTCACCAACTGGATGAAGCAGTATAATGCTTTTTAAAATTCCAAATTTGTCATGAGATAGATAAAGTTTTGTCAAAAGTTTATACAATTGAATCTGTGTTAAAATCTATAAATATTGATGCGTTAAAGACAAATATAACAAACTAATACTCGACAACTCTTCCAGCCAAACAAATTTACCAAAAGCTCTTAGAATATAAAACTGTATTTGTTTTATATTTCCAAGCCAAAAAAATTAGCTATTGTTTAGATTTCCACTGTTCTGAACAGAGACTGCAGAAATATGTGTTGAAACATTTTCATTCTTAGTGAAAAGATTCTTTCAGATTGGAAGCAGTCAATTTTCACGTCTTGGATTCTGTCTGATTATTAAACTTGTTAAATCTGGAATTTTCAAAGATAAATACCCATAACAACTGGTCACCTAGCTCATTATTATAAATTAGAAAATGAGATAAAAAAAGCAGCTTTTAGCTCGAATAAAACAGAAGTATCTAAACAGAGAAAAGTTTGTCTGATTCTTGAAAATACGGTTTTGCAAAGAGTGAGAGAAGCTCGACCATATGAATAACTCAATAAATAATAAATGCATTCTGAACAGATGAATAATGGTTTCTCAAGAAGTTCAAAAACTTTTCGAAAATAATCTACTTTAAGTGAAACTTCAGCTTTAACTCGTATTAGCTAGCTCAAAAAAAGGTAGTGCAGCATCTGAAGACATTATAAACAACTTTAACAGCTTAAAAGAACTGTTTTTGAGCTTTCTTATGAACTGAGTTATCGCATAATAAGAGTAAATTTGGATACACCTAAACTGGTGATTTCGCATTGTATTTATCTTTTTCAGGGCTTGCTTTGCTTTCACTTAGAATTCTTTTAGCTACCTGGTTTTATAGCAGACAGATAATCCGATAAGCTTCTCTATCTGTCGGTCACAGAGTGACATCAACTTTGTGCTGCCGAGGAGTGTAAATAGTATGTTACAAACTAAGAACGTTTAGTTGGTCTTGTTGATCGAAAAAAGGAATAGACTTTTTGCAAGTTAATGTTAGACGCGATGTTAAAAACATTGCTTAATCAAGTTAATAAATTCGCATATTAAAGTTCTGTCAAATTCTTCTCAAAAAAGATCTTTCAAGTACAATCTATTTCTTACTCCTTTTTTTTGTACATTCGAGGGGTAGTATTAGAATCGAAATCAGACTGAAAATAATAACATATAAGAACATCTTTAGTTGCCTTTCTTTCCAATTTGCATTTCACTCTCCTCGCTTCTCTTCCTTCTGCTTTCAGTCTTCTTGCCACCTTTTTGCTTTAATTGTCGCTCTGTTTACCGTCTTCAGTAAGGAAGAACTAGAATCGTCCTCAGTTAGCAAACAACAGTACTTTCAGTCCAATGGTTTTCACTTCAGTTTTTCAAGTTGCTTGTTTGTCAGGTCGTGACATTTAGAAGTAACTAAGGCAATATCGCCACTGTTATCTTTCAGCCCTAGTGATGGTACAATGCGTATTTCAACTCCTCTTGATGAACCAGTGTATTTAAAGTCTGCAGAGTCAAGTCCACAGCTTGAATAACTGTTGATAGCATTCGCACCAGAAAGATCAGTTCCGAGCACTTCAGTTAAGTAAAAGTTAAAATAATCTTATTTTTACCTTCCCCCCTGCGGGTAAATGAGAAAAAAGGAAAATGATGGCATATAAGGAAAGATTGTAAATATTTACCCATTAGAACAAACTAAGAACTTAGAGAACTGGTTAAAGTTGTATGCTCTTTCACTTAACCAACTGCTTCAGCCAACGTTTTACATATGTATCTTATTCATGAACGGTGCTAATCATGAAAAGAAATTACGTCACAAAAGTGCTAAAAGTAACTTATATTTTATTTCAAAACTTTTCCTTTCGGCTACAACAATTTGTTTTGCTTCTGAATTTATGCATTAGTTTGTCTAAAGTCTAGAAAACACTTCAGATATTTTGCTAAGTTTTAATATACTAAATCAGAACATAACAGAGCGGTATCACTGTGATGTAATTTATATGTGAGCCAAAAGTTTCTGCATCTACAGGTTGACAGAAGATTTTGTATATTATGACAGAAAATACAAAAACCTCCAATTGCATATCCTTTCGTGGCTAAACTATAATAATATCTAGCACAGACTAGACACTCAAAAACTCCTATATTCATAACTTATATTCCTAACACAAATTTTTCATATATTTATTCCGCAGAGAAACGTGTCAAAATTACACATCTTCAGATCCTACGTTTTCGCACAACTTTAAAAAAATGTGATCACAACAGACATTTGTAAGCTTATCAAGAGATCGTGCAATCAATTAGTATAAAAATGGCCCCAAAATTTACAACATCATACGAACTATAACTGGCATAAGTTGTCCGCCAGGAAAAACGTCATAATGAATCTGTAAAGAGAGTTTAGACCTAAGCCTGAAGAAAACGCAACCTATCAGCAAAAGTAATATGGTTTTGTAATTCTAATTGCAACTAGAAGTCTTCTTTACCTACATCCCTACATTAATTTCTATTATAACAGCTGTTACTCTATAAACACGCAGTACCTTTACGGCAGCCACAAGCGAAAAATAAATGCTCAAAGTCAGTAACAGAATTCCAACAGTTCGTTCCTTTTCTCTCTGTTCCTCGATCAGTTTTCAGTAAAAATAAGGAATGCTCCACATCCTCAGTTCAAGTCACTTTAATAAATAAATTTTACTTAGTCGAATTATTCTTCTCCATTTGAAAACCTCAACGTTTTAACCGTTATTTTCATTCCTCCCATTGTTTTTCCCTTACTTTTCCAGAGGAATCCTGAATTCCATCCCCATACAACTGCTGTAGCATAGAATGCTTTTGAAGTAGCTGATAAAAGTAGGAAGTGAAACTTTTGCTGTCCATAAGCAGCCTTATTCTTGCAGACAAATTGATATTTACGAAAGGCATTTTAAATAAGTAATAAAATAAAAGCGACAATTAAGAAAAAAGCAAGCATAATAACCAAATTTAAAGTGAATTTTTTAATCGTGCCATAATTCTTGGTCTCCCTTCTTCTAATAAACAGCAAAAATGTCTTGTGGATGCTTGTAAAAATGAGATAAATTTACAGTGTTGTTGAGATTGGTTTAGCGATAAAACAGAAGTATGAAAAAATGCGGCTTTTTCTTTATTCGCATAAATATTGCTTTCTTGATTGGCCCTCTGTGGATTAAAACTGCTGACGAAATATTTGCAGAGAAAAAATTATTTGTAATACATCAATTGACAAAACGTTCAATACAAAAATCCATTTGATTTATTCCATCCATTTGTTGCAGTTTTAAATGTTGCCGACTGATAATCCTTAAAAAATGTTGTTTTTTCAATAATATTTAATAAATTTCAGTTGAAAAACCGTTGTCACCATAAACTACAAGCTTTTTAAGCTAGTAAGAATTAAAACCAAAAAACTAGCCTTAATTATAGCAAAAAGATTTATAAAAAAAAAAGCAACAAGTAATTCAATTCTCGCTCAACTTCCACCAAGCTAACAATCGCCAGACGCCTCCAAAGTCCTCACATCTCAAACAGATTTTGAGCAGTCAAACCTTTCAATCTCCAACTTCTAGTAAATGAAAATTTTGAAGATATGCTACTTGAGTGCTAATTGAAAGCCTTTGAATTCTCGGAAATATTGGGAACATTTTATAACAGTGCCCAAATCTTTTTTTTTTGACAAAAGAGAATGGAAGAATGATGGATAGCAATAAAAACGTTTGATTCGCCTGACCCCATCCGCAGAAGATGTGCTGCATGAGCAGCGACTATTGAGAATGATTAATTAAGAGTGCCGTTAAACAAAGCAGAACAGGCAAAACAGCTTCTCTTCCGTATCGCTTTTCCAAACAACTAATTTGAAACAGTTAACAAGTCGTTCTCAAAGTCTGCCTTCTAAAATTCAACCGTATACTGCTGTACCTTAAAAGCTTATTAGGATTTCTCAATAATAACACTGGCTCTGTACGAATATTAGAGGACAGAAAAAATTCTGTGCATTGCAACGTGCAATTTTCCAAACCTTTTAACTATCGCTATCGTTCCTTGATAAAATAAAATAATTCTTGAAAAGCTTGCAGAGTAAAAATTTGAAAAGAAAAACGTATTCGAAACACTTGGTTAGAGAGATAGGATCTCACAAAGAATAATTCTGAAAAAAACTTCCTGCAAACAGTTGTAAACAACCTAGTAGGATTTTCTGCCAAAAAGTTACCAAACTAAAGAAATAACTAGTCAAACTGCCGTTTAATTATTAGTTGGTTAAGGCAGTATCTATCCTATAAGAAGCTCAAGAAACCTACCCATCAAAGAACTTTAGGAATTGCTTTCAAAGGAAGTTGAACAATTTGCATTAAACTAAAATCAACAAAAGATTGACCGTAGAAATTTTATGAGCATGTTTAAACGAAAAATTTGACACAAAATGTTCAGAAACCAAGTGATATGTTAATAAATTGGTTAAAAGTAACCGAACACTCGGTGTCATTTCCCTTGTTCAAATTTCGAAGGATAATTTAGCAGTTTGAAAAAACTTATTTTTATCATCAAATATAGCCGCTCGAAATGCCCTGAGCTCTGTCTGCTAATCACTACATGTCAGTAAAAACGACTGTATTCCAGGATCCAAACCATAGTAAATGAAATTTTAGTTGATAAGACGGGAAAAACCATAAGCGTCAAGGATCTGAAATTCTGGTTTGAGCAGTTCTTGACCGAACGACCGCTGTCTACCGCTGATAGGTTGTGCAAAGTTCAGAGGACAAAGTTGGCAAATTGCCAATCACGTTCTCCTTCTATCACAAACATTAAAAGAAATGCTACCAGCTGTTTGCTCTGCTGCTAATTGACAGTTCAGTTGTATCGCAGTGGTGTTCTCCGAATTTACAGCAAACAAGCATGACTTTCGAGCTTACCTTTTTCACCAACTGTTTGTTCAGATCGTTTGGACACACTTTAGATTCATTGGCGTTGTTAACACGTTGATCAGTTACTGCTTCTAAACAATTTGTTTTGATCATAGAGCACAATGATGTCATTTTGAATTTCTGTCAATGTTTTCGAAACATCGTTTTGCTCTTAGCAAATTCAGTACTGTCTTGCCCGGAGTGCGAAGTGCTGCTGTATTTTAGAAGATGGCTTTAAGATTATTGACTGGAAATTCCAGAACTCTGTTGTATCAGTCCTGTCGTGCTTATGCAGCTGGTTCAGATTTTCTAAAAGAAGTTAATCTAAGAAATAAATCAGGCGAGGTGTTTGCGTCGGCGTTCGAAGGAAAGGTTACTATGTTGTTATTTTCATCCATATAAATTTTCTGAGTTAAACTCCAAAAAAGAGTGAATATGTACCTTGAGGCTTATTATACGGTTACTGATACCACTTTCCTTTATTTCGCTTTTTATTTTTTTACACAGTTGTTGAAATATAATAACACTGTTTTAGTCAATCACTGAGTGGTATAGATATGCCTACCTTATAAAATTTATTGAGTTTTAAAATTTTAATGAATAACTTTTTGCGTCTCGCAATTTTTTCACATGATGTTTTATTTGACATTTTGCTAGTTAAAATTCTTCTAATCAGAAAATGGCAATTCTGTTTTTTTACCCTATGAAACTTTTAGGCTGTTCTGCTATATTTTTCGGCAGGATGGTGTGGACAGTGCAGACTTTTCACTCCGAAGCTAAAGGTAGTCGATTTTATTCCTGATCGTTATCTGTGTTTCTGTCTATACCTCTACCGACAAGGCTTAGTGCTATTAGCTGTACTTTAGAAATGGTTCGAGGAAGCGGGAAAACCTAATGGAGTAGAATTAATATGGATATCGAGAGATCGTTCAGCGGAAGATCTGGCTGCTTATCACAAAAAGGCGCTTCCTGAAATTTCCTACATTCCATTTGGAGACCCAAGTGTTCGGTTGGTTCTACCTTTTTAATGTTTATTAGGAGGTACTATGGTGATATTCAGATTTTGTTTCAATTTTAACAATTATTTCCTCTCGTAGCTGAAGGTTCTTCTCTCTTTTACACTTTTGAAACGTCTGCAGATTATTGATATCCTATTAAATTATCGGGATCTTTAGATGAGCAGTCATTTTAGATCATTAGGTGTTTTACATTTATAGTTATAATGCTGTTTAAGTTTTTTACAGGAAATTTCTGCAGAAGTATCAGATAAAAACAATTCCTTCACTGTTCCTTGTGAACAATGAGGGAGAGATTGTTGACAGGAACGTTAAGACGAGGATAGAGGTTATCATTTCTCTTTTTTTTTAAATTGTATTTTTTGGGTAACGGGCTCTGGAGTGGTCTAATTTATCGACTGTTGAACGTACTTCTGGAAAACAATGTAAAATTGTTTGGGAAATTAACTTTATTTTAATAAAAGCATGTTTCTTTGTTCTTGACAAGGAAACTAGTTGATGTTTTTTACCTCATGAAAGGAATTGGAAGGTTTGATGGTGGGAAATTGTCCGTTATGAATTACGTTCAAAAGTATTTTTGCTTGTTTGGTTTGCAACTTTTTGGCCATATTTCTTACAGTTTCTTTCTTTTTTCGAACTGTCAGTAATGTGAGTAGTTAACGAATACATCTCTTCTTTTAAACTACTTTCAAGAAATTTTTGCAGACTGAAGGGAAGGAAAATCCGAAGAAGTTAGCGAAGGATCTTCGTGATGCTGCATAATGGAGTATTAAGAGTCTGATATAGTGGATGTCATTTGTCAGTTTTTTTTAGTGATGCAGCTGCAGAGATAGTTTTGATGTATATTTTGAATGCTTAGGAATATTCCTGTAAATAGAGCAGGTTTATCGTACATATTTTTTTATTGGACTTTTCCCGTTCTTTTTTGTAGAGCGGCAAAGTACCGCATTAATCTTGTTTGCATAAGAGAATGGTGTAAAGTTATAATGTATTATTTATTAATTATTTTTAAACAAACAGACATCACAAAAATGCATAGGTTACAAACCCATTTATATAAAAATTACACTGTATAAATCACCTAGTAATTGAAGGGCAAATTTGGGACTATGGACAGAGGAGGTAGGATTATTAATTACAGTTTTCCTTTCCTTAACAAGGTTACGCTTTGTTATTGCCCTTCGTACCCGTAACAGTTGGCTTTGCGCATCCATCCTTGAGCAAAACTTCGAGCTTTTTGGAGCTTTCTCAGAGACGTCGGAAATGAGTGGTAATTGGGAAGATCTTTGGCCGAAATCCAATAAAAACAATTTTTGATTATTTACCTTTAGACATATATGCTGTTTTGCTCTTAGACCGGATGAACTTTTACAACAATAATAACTCGTTTTGAAATTAAACTTGGAACTGCTTATGAGCGAGATGTTTGTCGTGGGATGACTCGAAATTTTCGATATGGAAGACATCGGTAGCACTGTTTAAGCAAATATAATAAGTAGGCATCATGGTTTTCGGCAATGTTGAATGCATTGTAGATGTGGTTTAAAGAAAGATCGGCTAGTGAATGATATGCAGGCTATTACAAGAGTCTTTCTGGAAGGGTTATAGTAGAATGATCAAGCTAGATATTGGTCTATAATAACTACGGCATCTGGTCGACCCATGCTGCGAAGTTTTTGAAGAAGATCAAAAACAGCTTCTCGTGAACCGACTTTCATTGCCTCCCACATGTCTAGGAGTAATGTGGTTGGTGATAGGCCTGGTCGGGTAGCAAAGTACTGTAAATGAAACAGACGTGTTTTATTACAACCAGCAAAACAGTAATCTTTGAAGAACCCTAGTAAGCAGGACAGTTAGCTTATTTCTCACCTGTATATATCGATGAAGGCCCAGTTTTTTAGCCAAGCCTCTCCAGTCTTTTTCTGGATCGGTAGGAGTGTCCAGAAGGTCAGCTAGTCTCCACCTTATGCTTGAGTCAAGTTGGAAAGGAACGGAAACTGGACACTCATCTTGTAGTTCGTCACAAACCTTAAGAAGAAATTATGTGACCACATTACCTTACTATAATTATACTTGTGTTTAATTTACGTTAATTTGTACTCCAAGAAGGAACAATTTACCAATGGCTTTTGCAAATCAATTTCAAGAGTTTGGCGACCGTCAGGGTTCTCTTTTTGATAAATGAGAACACGTCTCTTCCAGTTCTTCTCACCAGTCTCTTCTACGTTTGTGACACTGAGATCACAATGTACTCCACTTTGCAAGCACCATAATCGAGCAGTTTCTTGAATTTCCTGAAAAATTTGTTGCATTATGAAGTTATACTGTTGGATCGCCTTTTCACTGTTTTGGTGTGTTAATAATGCTAAGAGAAGATGTTAGGTGCTAGAAAAGCACTGACATAGTAATGGGATGGAGGTGACGAATATGAACCAGACGATGCGCTATCAAGTCGTAAGCACAGTGATCCTGTTTCTCTTAGCAGGAAGTCCTTCAGTTGTCCTAGTAAAACTCCGGTGTTTTCTTCGCGTTCAATAACTCTTCTGAAAGCGACACCAGTTTCCGGTACGCAATAAATACGTACAGTTCGATCACCTAAATTTGGTTTTGTCGGACCAAACGCCGCTACCCTTACTCGTTTTGTTGCCATTCCATTTAATTTTTTTGGTCTTCCAACCAACAATAGTTTGCCAAACTGCTCTGTCATGACGTGGCATCTTAATTAAAAATTGGCATTAAAAATATGACTTTTTGGTTTCTAATCAAAATTATCACTGTAGGGAAAATATGTATTAACTTTTTTTTTGATTGGATGAAAATTTTGATCGTTAGCGTAGAATCCTGAACAGTACGATGTCTACAAAATAGTTCTTTTCACTTGTACTGACCTGTAATGTTCTAATTGACAGTAAACTGGTGTATTTATATTTTCTTCACCGATTTTAACAATCATCTCCCAGATTCCATCGTAATTTTTCTTGCCGTACAAGATGAATGTCCAACTGTCTCTGGGAAAGTTGCTGGCACAATGTTTGAAAGATACTACGAAGGGACGGTGTAATACAAAAGCTTCATCGCCATTACCATCACATAAACCAGTCATCACGGTGGCACTCAGGACGGTATCTCCCTCTTTAAAAACAAAATTTCGCCTATATTGCACCTTCACTTTATTTGTTTTCAGGACTATGTTATCAACCTTTGCAACTCAGTCTAAAAACTATGTGAATATCTATAGGGTGAGGAAGTTAATTACGGGTTTTTCACGCAAAACAAACCAGGAAGTTTTGGTCGATCGTTAGTGTCTTCAGAAACAGCAATGTAAACAGTGTGTTCATTTGAAAGAGCGTTTTCAGGAACTGATAACGATACTCCGCTTTTCTTTAACTGTAAAACTTTTTGATTAATCTCAGCCTTTTGTTTGTAACTTTATTACTGCAATAAAAAGAACAAGAGTTCTAAGCTAAGGGATCATGAACTGGGTAGCTACAGTCAGCTTACAAATTCATGCGGAGAAATTGCATACCTCTACTCTACCTCCGTTTCTGTTGAAATATACAGGCGTAAATACTTGTGGGAATGTAACCATCTGTAACGGGCCATATCGTTCGCTTGCATCACCCACATAATCATATAATGTTGCATAATTTTCGTCAGAACCTTGCGAACTACTGCATTCCCCTAGTGTCGTCTTACCGTTTGAAGAATTCGACGATGAGCACTCAGTTATCAAAGCTGTTCTCGAACCTAAAAACTTACACTTGCAGTGAATAAGAAATAATTTGGCAATATTTCTAAAAAAATTCTATCAATTTAGTGTTTTTAAAATGCTTTTGAAAAAAAGCATAATTCAATGGACGTTTTTGTGCCCTTTTTCACACTGTCTGTTCCGTTTTTTTACTCTGTCTGTCTATGTTTTCGAAAAAATTGCACATGGAAGCTGATCACTGTTAGCCTCAGTATTGTGTAAGAGGATTAAAGACAGCTACTTAACTGCATATGTTCAGGATGCACAGGTGAATGGTTCATTTAAGTACTCTCATGTTCAGATTATATTTTCTCACCTGCTCCTTGTCGAGTTGATGAATAGCCACTGTTAGCACTTCTTACAGATCTTAAGGTAAATGTAGATGGATGAATAACCGGATGTGCTGGAGAAGCTGTTGTGGTCAGTGTATAAAATTCACTTCCGTTGGCGATTATCTTTACTCCATCTGGATCTCCCAGAAGACGTTGCTTTTGTTGTAATAAAACTGTTCGAACATGTCCTAAAAATTATGAATGATATAATTTAGCATACAACTGTTATGGAGCAAATTTATGTGGCACTGGCGAAATGGCAAATAAAGTTTCTGATAAATAAAAATAGTAAATCGGGCAGGTTTGTGTGAGGTTTATGCAAGTTTTTTCAACTTTCAGTTAGTGGGTTGCTTATAGATGAGAAGGATATGGTCAAAAGGTTTGGAAATTATTTGACTATCACTGTATTGAAAATTCAGTATAGAATTTCACTGAACGTAAACAGCAATTTAATGATCATTTTGAAAGTCATTCAGTGGTTTTTAAATGCTCTTAACATTAGTTCACACTCTTGCAACACAAACATTGTAAACCAATGCAAGCAGCTGTCTTTGCCAAGTCAGTTTAATCGTTTCTTATTACATACCTTCTTAAGTATATTTCAAATAATTTATCAAAAATTTTTCAAAACATTATTTTCTGTGTTCCTCTCCACACCTGACTTTTTTAAATGCTGTTAAAACAATTAAACAACAAACAAAATGTGTAATTGAGCTGAGCAGCCAATTCAAGCATACTTGGCAGAATTTGAGAACATTTGCAAAAACAAAGTCTTTAAACAAAATAAATTTTTTGTGACTTTTATGTGACCGTGATTCACCACCATATATAATGAAAACATACTAACCGCTATTTTCTGCGAAATAGATATCATTCCGGCGAACACCAAGACAGCATCGTTTCCAACGACAAAACAAGATAAGCATAAGCAAGAATATTAGCAATAACAATATTACTACGCTGCCTAATCCAGCGTACATCGCTAACTGCGTTTCTAACGGTGGCGAATCGAAAGCTGGAGCTTTGATATGATTTCTACAGTGACCCGTACCTGGCGAGCAGCTCTTTGTTTCTAAGGCACTTCCGCTGCAGTTGGCTCCACCGTTCATTGGAGGCGGTGCGCTGCAGCTTCGAGTTCTTATTTCATAGCACTGTGAGGTACATTCTGACCAACTGCTCCAGTGAGTCCTAGGTAGTAATTATTATAATAGCTTAATGGTTACTGCAAGACTGTACGATAAAAATATAGCACAATACTGAATTAAACCATACTTTTAATCTAAAAAATACTGCCACTTACCAGTGTCCGTCAACACGACACGTAAATTTACAAGGCCTATCTTCAATTGCAGAACCAGGACAATCTTGACCGTTGTTCAGAGGCGCAGGATTGTTGCATTCGTGTTGTCGAGTTTGTTTTGGCAAAAGTTGATCAATTCTTCTTTGATTTCCCTTCTTGTTCCTCAATTCTTCCACCAAAATTTTGCAGTCTACATTGCATTCACTCCAAGGACTCCATTCACCCCACTGACCGTTGACTGAAAAATAGATCACAAATATAAATAGGCATTTAAGAAGTTTTTTGCAATAATTTTTTTTAAACTACGCAACGTATGTATTACATCTGTACTGCTGATATAACGTTTGTAATGACAATTACTTGCTTATTCCAGAGCATTTAGATTTTTGAAAAAGTTTCAAGTAATCTGACGGAACTTGGTAAAAGTAAAACTTCACTTTACTTATTTGTTTTGTTAATAAATTGTTCAAGCAGCTGTGACCACTAAAGTTTTCAATCTTTAACAAGTCCAATATTTATCATTCTAACACCAAAGAAGCATTTTTTTTTTTTTTTTCAGTTTCTTGGCTTGTTGATCGAGCGAAATTGGCATGTAAAAACGTAGCAAAGCAGTATATTCTGACATAGCGACTTAATGAAGGATAACTACCCTTCTTAAAAAGTCAATCAGGACATTAATCCAAAAATCATTTTTATGGTCATTTGGCTGGGCTAACATCACAAGGATTACTTTATACAATCTCTTTAATCTCCCGTGAAATTATATGCCTCTCTGATTCATCTTTTGAAGTTTCTCGACATTGTTTGCCGTCTCAAATTTTTCTTTTTATTCCTGATAAAACAAACTTTAGCGACACATGAATGCCTCCTTTCTGAATGTCTTCTGATCAAGGAAGATTTCTTTCTTTTTGATCAACATTTTACGATATACGACACCGACAAACAATAATAATACACAAAAATAACATTTTTTTTATTTATAATTTGCAAAGAAGGATTTTTGAACGCTCAAAAAGCGATATGGTCATTGAAATGTTTTTACACCAATTTTACACGTTTTATTATTGTTCCTACAGTTGCGAACGGTAAAGAAAAATTAAGAACTTTTCTCTTTTTGTTATTAATACGTATGACATCAGCACAAACAGCAATAGAGTTTTAATAACCATCAATTATCAAAGGTAAAATCGACAGAAAGATTGACTGTTTTTAATAGAGAATTTTTGAGGCTGAAGTGTTACAGCACTTAACAGTGAAGGCAATGATTGCATTGCCTTTGACCAGACCATTCTTGATCGTTTTTTTATTGAATAGAAATCTTAAGGTGTGTCTGATAGCAATAATCTGTAAATTATTGCTTTCGTTGGTTCTTATTATACTTTATTTCAGCTTTTTAAACCATTTTCGGCTAATTTCAATCGTTATAGTCTTTAAAAGTTAAGTGAGAAAAAAGAAAAGATAAAGAAGCTTTAATGTCAATTTTCTTGAGAAGAATGATTATAAATAGATATATATAATATATAATATACAAGCAAGTATAATTTTTTCAGTCGTATGTTAATTGGTGAAAAATGGATGACATGTTAGAAGGAAACATTTGTTTGTTTGCAATTGTTTTCAAGAAGACAAAATATCGAGTTCTTTTTTGATCCTTTTGATGCAACTCTTTTTAAAGTCTTTAATACTGAGCGCTTTACCGAAAGAATCTGGAGGAAACATCAAAAAGTTTCCGGAACTGAGGTTCAGTGGACTGAAACTTATCTGACCTTCAGTTAGGCGAGCAGTAAAGGTGCCGCATTGCATCAGAGATATTTGGTATATATACATATATGCGTATGTGTTTGTTTTTGTGTGGAGGTAAGATGTATAAATAGATGTATAATGACATTATTCAAAACTTTTTGTTTGAAACTTTCATCACTAGCCTCTATTTTGTCTCCTGTTTTTTATTTATTTTATTTATTTTTGTTTACACTACTGACTTATATCAATTTTTTATAAGTTTGGTTTTGTTTTCTTAAAATCATATGCGCATCACCAACCCAAAAGCCTTAGAACCAAAAGACTTTACAAGTACAATGTATTCTCAAAAAAAAAAAAAAAAGGTGTTTACAGTAAAACAAAAGATAAAAGTTTTCAAAAGAAAAAAATGAAAGTCGAGCAAAATGGTTTTTGTAAATTTATTGGCGAAACTATTGCAGGCGTCAAATTGAGACAGTTAAAATAGAACAGCTGTACCATTATTTCACTCGTCAGATTTACTTACAAAAACAAAGTAATTGTTAATAAGGTACAAAGAAAAACCTATTATTTTTGTAAAAGACTTTGTTTAAGCATCAGCCTAAGTCAAGGAAGTTTAAACTTGCATTAAAACACATAGTTTTTCCACTCATCTTATAATCTTTTATAGAAACCTTTGAATTATTTAAAGCAGGTCTATCAGCTGTCTTATTTAAAACACCATTAAATAAATGTACGGTAGATAGATTAAACCATAGTTCTTTTTCTTTGTTTTATTCTTCCCAATCTTGTATTGAATTTCATTCTTTGCAATCAGTCAACTAAGCGCAGTTAAAACTTAAATAAATTTATCTACACTGAATAGTTCAGATAAAGATATTTGAGCAGATTAAATATTTTGATGTCTCTTAAGTGTTAGTTGAAAAATTCCTTCAACAGTTTTACAGCATAGCATTGCTTATTGAAAAATTACTTGTCACAGTCATAAAACAGTTCTTATTCTGCTGTAAATATTGTAGCAAAAAAAAACAAAAAAAGGAGAAAAAGATTGCTCAAAAACCGAAAAAGCTACTAAGGTTGTTTGATCAATTTATGACTAATTATAAAAAACTGTTCTGTTAATTGACCACAGAAACGAATAAATACACACATACACACACACACACACACTCAGCCAAACATTAAAAAAAAAGAGCGGCTAATTAAACATTGCCCTAAAAGTATCAAATTAAAAAAAAGAAAGAAAAAAAACTGAAGAAAGGAGAATTACAAATTGTCATCTTTCGTTTTTATGTTTTTTAGTGCAATTAATTGCGGCTTCTGTAATCATCAGATGCCGTTTAATTTGCTATTGCTACTGTAAGCCCGGTAATACAGCGCCGTTATAGCATTTGAAGCGCTAAGCCTTTTTGAATTTGTAGCTAATTATCGGTGGCTTTTACAGATTAACGGCAAACTTAGAACGATCATTAAATCTAGTGATATTGCACGTAAAAGAGTCACAAAATCAAAAACAAAAGCAAAAACAGTAATAAGAAAATAATAAAAATTTATTTAAATTTTTTACATATATATTATATTTTTCAATATTTATTTCTGCTTTTTTTTATTTTTCATATTTCTCATTTATTTTGTTTACAACAAATTTAACCGTTTCTTTTTTTTTTTTTTTTTTCGCTGTTGTTGTTACAATTGTTCATTTTTTATTGTTTTTTTTTTTCCCCGCGAAAGATGTACTTTTTTTTTTGTTCATATTTTTCTCTCTTTTTTTTTCTTTTTAGTTTATCGTTGATAAGGCAAGGTCAAAGTACAGCATAAAAATGTTATGGTAATTTAGGTATAAACGTTTTAAAAAGAACAGACTAACAGCAGATACTGATCGCAGTTAATAATTTGTTTTTATTCAAAATAGAATTGCTGTACTGATAATTAACATTTGTTTGTGATATATGTCATTGATAAAACTATTAAGGTGAATATATAAATGTTTTAGTTTATACTGCCGTTAAGGCCATTACCTCCACCAATGACGGCAACAGTAACGACAACGGATAAAGACTACAAGACTACTATAGTTAAGCGTAAAATAATCACATAAAAAAACTGGCATATATCAATGTTACAGAATAAAAGAAAAAAAAAAGCTTTGTTTGAATCGTTACACTTTTTTTATTCTATTTGTATGTATCCGATAATCGCCCATTTAAACTATTTCCATTTATCGGTTCTTGTTTGTTGTTATTGTTAGGTAGTTTTTGAAGGTTAAAAAGGTAAGATTAAATGTTCCAAAAAAAAAAACATTTTACTATTATTATTTTTTTTGAAAACTACTAAATAAAAAAACTTAAATATTCTCGAAAAGGTCTTCCGACACAGACAGACACCAAAAAAAGGAACCTTCAGCAATACGAAATACTAAATTGTGTTTGTCAACAGAGACCGATCAGTTTTTGGTCAAAATATAACGATGATCGATACAGTTCTGCTATTGTTAACGATCAATTAACTTTACTGTACCACAGAGAACCTTATAACATTTGAAATGTCACCGATCATGCATCTTCAACAAAATCTTTGATCGCCATCTTTATCGTCATCACAGGAACGGTTTTCAGATTGTCTTTCAAAAAACCAAAAATGTTCCGCAAGTTATGAGCTTATAAAATGTGGCAACAAATTTCGCACAGTTTTAACAGTTTCTCAACAATTTTGTTT